GCTCTGGTGTTAAGTTCGTTTTCATTTAAACTTTCCTTTAGCTCTTGAACAACCTGTTTTAACTCATTCTCTTTCCGTTTTGCTTCCCCTAATTCTGCCTTTTGTGAATTTACTACTTCCTTAAGTTCCGTCAACTGTTCTGCCACTTCCTCCTTTGTTAGTCTCATGTCTTCCAGAAGCTCCAGTTGCCGGGATGCTTCCTCTTCTGTGATTGCTCGACCTTTCTCCAACTCATCTATCTCTGTCTCTCTCTCATTTAGCTTAATCTGTAAAGTGACCACATTTTCTTCCAGCTTTTCCTGCTTTTGAGCTGTTTCGAAATGGTTCTTTTTGAGCATCTTAATCTTTTGTACCAAAATCTCGATTTTACCCTCTTTCGCCTCAGAATCTCGCTTCAGCATATCTAACTGTTGAATAAGATTTCGTTTCGCTTCATCTGATAAAGCTTTTCCTCTTTTGGCCGACTGCAACAAAGACTTCACTTGACTGAAATCTTTTAACTCTCGTTCCAACTCTTCACACTTATGTGTTTTTTGTCGCAAAGTTTGCTCTTTTTGTTCCGCTTCCAATTTTAGCGATTGATAAATTTCTTCTAATTCTTTCCAACTGAGCCTCTCGCGAGTTAGCGAATCTAGAATCCTCTGTTTTTCATCATCATGTATTTTCAACTCTTCATCGCGCTTCTCCAAACATTTTTTCAGCTCAGACAACTTGTTTTCCAGAGATATTTTTTCGTCTTCAAGTTCTTTCAAATCGTGTTTTAGTTTCGCTTCATTTTCACTTGTTTCTTGGATAACAGTCGCTAAGTTGACTTGCATGTCTGCTGTATCTTTTTCCAAACTTTCCAATGTACTCTTTAAACCTGAAATCATATCCTCCTTTTTTCGCACAGCTAGACGATATTTGACGGCGTTTTTTTGTATTATAGCCTTCATTCTTTCGGCAACATTTTCTCTTTCTTTGAATCCTTCTTCGGCCGACTGAATTACACTCTTTACTTCTACAGCGTGTTTTTGTTCTTCTTTGTTTACCCGGGAGTGAAGTTCCCTGATTTCTGTCTCAGCATTCTCTAATAGCTCTGCTCTCTCTCGTAAGTTAACTTCAAGTTCTGCCATTCTTTCCTTGCTTTCAGTAAGCTCCTGTTCCTTTAGTCGCAGTATTTCAGTCAGATCCCTGATTTCTGTCTCAGCATTCTCTAACAACTCTACTTTCTCTTGTAAGCTAACTTCAAGTTCTGCCATTCTTTCCTTGCTTTCAGTAAGCTCCTGTCCCTTTAGTCGTAGTATTTCCGTCAGATCCCTGATTTCTGTTTCAGCATTCTCTAACAGCTTTGCTTTCTCTCGTAAGTTAATTTCAAGTTCTGCCATTCTCTCCTTGCTCTCAGTAAGCTCCTGTCCCTTTCGTCGCAGTATTTCAGTCAGATCCCTGATTTCTGTTTCACCATTCTCTAACAGCTCTACTTTCTCTTGTAAGCTAACTTCAAGTTCTGCCGTTCTTTTCTTGCTCTCAGTAAGCTCCTGTCCCTTTAGTCGCAGTATTTCCGTCAGTTTGTCCATTTCTGCCTTACATTTTTCCATTTCTTTTTCCCTTTCGTCGCTTTTTTGTAGTATGTCCTTGGTATCAGCTACAAGTCCCGCAAGCTTTTCTTCTTTTTCCCGTAAATTTCCTTCAAATGTCTCCTCAAGAAAATAGATCTCCTCCTCTCTAAATTTTAGCCTTTTTTCCAGAGTTTCTCTCTCCCATTTTGCTTCTTGCAATGATTTCTTAAGTTCTTCAATTTCTTCCTCTTTGCACTTTCCCGTTTCGTCAAAGGATACTTTCACCTCTTTCAGAAGATCATCTTTGGCTCTCAGGGCTTCTTTCCAGAATTGTTCCCGCTTCTCTACCTCTTTTTTCCAACCCCTGGTACTTTTATCAAATTGTTCTTGCAATATGTCAAGATCTTTTTGTTTCAGGGAAACAGAATTTGTTAAAGACCTCTCTAACGCCTCTTTTTCAGCGTTTCCTTGTGCATACTTTTCCTTTAGTATTTCTAGCTCTTCAGAGAGCTGATCCAGCTCCGCACCCAGTTTGTGTTCTTGCTGTTTTGTATCTTCTAGTAAGCTGCTTAAGTTCGCTACGTCTTTCTCTCTCTCATCAAGGTCGATCTTAAGTTTCTCATTCTCTTGCTGAGTTTCTTCAAACTTTTTTTCTAATTTTTCTATCAAATCCGCTTTATTCCGCTCTTTCGCAGCCCTATGCTCCATTTCCAAAGAAAATCTTTCAGAAATGATCAATTTTTCCTTCAACATGTTGTTCTCTCGATCTCTCTCCCGGATGACAAATTCCAGACTCTTTTGTTCTTGGGAGCAATCCGCGTTTTCTTTACGAAGCTGGCCAATCACGTCTTCAAGGTTTAGTCGAACAGAGTCTAACGACTGAAGCTTGTATTCAAGTTCGCAACAAATGCTGCCCTTATTCTCTAGCTCACTTACCACTCGTTTCACTTCATTCTCAAGGGAATTTCTCTCCTCCTCTATCATCTTCATTGCACATCTCCAGTTATCAAGGTCTTGTTTCAGTGAATTGCATTCCTGCTGCAAGAGTTGTTTCTCCTGAGATTCTATCCCAAACTTTTTCTGAAGGTCGCCTATTTTGTCTTCTTTTGCTCGGACATCACCTGATAACACCTGTTTGTCATTCAATTCATTCATCAAAGGTTTATCTGAATTGCTTTCTTTCTTGTCCTCTTTCTGAGACAGCTCGCTTGCCAACTGTGCCTCGATGAACCCGAGTTTGGCAGACAATTCCTCTATGCGTCTGTCCTTTTCTTTTATCATCATTTCTGTTGATATCAGCTGTTTTCCTTTCTGCTCTAAAAGTTGCTGCTGGCATTTATGAACCACTTCCATCTCATTTTTACTTGACTCAGAAACGGAACGTAAAGCTTCTTCCAGTTTCTTCCTCTCGTTCTTGTGTTCTACTATCATACTCTGTAATTTAGTAACAGAATCTGTTAACAGCTCAATTTCTGCTTCTTTACCGGTTAACTCTGCTTGAAGGCGTTGAATATCTTTTTCTTTTCGTTCGTTTTCTTCAACTTTAATGGTTATAAAATTTTCTGACGATTCTTTAATCATCGCCATCTGCTTTTCCTTTTCTTCTATTACGCTATCGAGGGTGCGCTTTGAACTTTCATTGTCTTCATTTTTTTCTTCGATAAGCTCTGATAAAATCGCTTTTAATTTAGCCAATTCCTGTTCCAGAGCCTTGACAGTCTCCTTGTTTGATTTTTCAAGTTCTTCTATCTGCATTTCCTTATCCCGCAGCCTTCCTTGGTACGAATGCAAAACCTCTCTTCCCTGAGTATTGGACTTTTTTGCCTCCTCGAGCCAGATTCTCAACCTCGTCACTTCTGCGTCTTTCGCGCGTAACTTACTTTCCGTTGATTTTTCCGCAGAGGCAAGAATCTCCTCTCTGGTCGCCATAAGTTCATCTAGAGAACGTTTCAGTTCGGAAATCTCGCTATTCTGGACACGTATTGTATTTTCGTAGGATATTCTGAGTTCTTCTACCTCGGTGTTTCGCGATTCAACAGCTTCCTTAAGAGCAGCTTTAAGATTAGCGACCTCGCCGACCTTGATTTTATATTCTTCCTGCCAGTAGCTTCGAATTTCTTTAAGTTCTTTCTCATTTTCATCGAAAACATCTTTGGCAGTCTTCCTTAAGATATCCCCACCTCCTCTTTCTCCAGAAGGTCCAGGTGAGTTTCTCATCTTATCTCCGCTTCGTGGAAAACAGCCGAGTTGCTGGGCGGCCTCGAATCGTTCTTTTCCCCCTGGACTCAAAGTCGTTTTCTTCATGTTTAAGAAATATTCTCGTGCCAGGAATGCAACGCTCAATAATTATGTTTCCCCTCGGAGTCTACATATTTCTACGAGTAATTCGTTCGAGTTTTTGCAAGGCTTAAAATGAATTACTTCACGTCGAGACGTTTGTGACGTCGTTATAATTAGCTCAAGCGCGCGCCTATTGATTAACGACTAATCTTAGCGGCTAAACGAACTTATTATAAAGAAATGCGCAGCAGCGTGCGAAATTGATCATTACCAGGAAACCGATTTCCAAGTGAGATTCGAGCGTGCGTCTTCATAAACTAAAACAAACAAACAAAACCTATAGGCTAGAAATCCGCGACAGCGCACTAAAAAATCTGTGTCGAATATGGAGTAATTATAAGTTCTGACCTGGAAATCCGATTACTACCCGCCGTGACGGAAACGTGACATTTCCAGAACAACTCCAGGCGTTATTCGTGACGGCAGTCACGTTCGACCGTCACGGACATTGGACCATCACACCAGTGTCCCATAAAAAAGCAAAATAAAAATTATAAATAATAATAAAAATAACAACAATAATGATAATAATGAACAGTCAGTAGACAGAGGTAGGCAAACACAGACGTTCAGTTGAAATTCTTCCTCATGTATGTTCTCGAAAATCTAACCGACATATGAAGCTCGCCTATTTTTTCACCTTCAGCCACGAGCCAGTGGAGAAGCACAACACAACCTGATTGTTTGCAATCATTTGTAACATACTCATTCAGATGATTAATTTTTGCGCACGTGATGGATTCAGATCCTTTCTTTTGAGTCCAGGAATTACTCTAACAAATTTTTAACTGATGAACCCGGCGATAGGGTTTGGTGGGCTTGCGTGCCTAGATTAGCAATGAGCTACAGTGTTTAAAAACCACAAGCCTTCCTTGACTGCGAACGGCGTATAGTTTCTGTACGGTATTTAGCTATTAGCTTACCTTTGATAAAGATGGTAATTTTCAGCAACCATCTGTCACCAAAATTGAACCATACCCAGAAAGATGACACGTAATGTCCGAGTTTCGCGCCTTTCCGTGCGTTCGGTACGCGCCCGTAAGGTCTGCGGTACTCTCAACATGGACATGAGTAAGACGCGACTGTAGTTCTCAGACCTCTTTCAGTAAAATCCAATATGGCTTCCTTGACATAGCAGTTTAAGCCACACTCGGCTCGAAAATGTCAGTCTGTAGAGTGAATTACCTTGTCTTCTAGGTTTTTGGCTCATATACCTAAGAACTACTTGGGAAGGGTTCTACATTCAGTGATTACTGGTCACAGGAGTGGGCATTTTGGAGAGAAATGTACTTACATTTCTTATAGATGACCAGCTTTCGGCAGCAGCTGTACATTTAGTGTAATATTATTTTGGTTTTGTATAATGTTTGCGTTGTTTTCTGGGCTATGGAAATACCTTTTCCAAAAGGACGAATACTGTATTCTAATCCTCGGCTTGGACAATGCTGGGAAGTCGGTAAGATATTCTGGTAATTTTGTAAACCACCAGATAGAATTAGATAGTATCGTTCACGACCTTTCAGGTGACGTAACAAGTAGGCAAAAACAATAATCCGTATTTCTGAAAAGACTTGAAATCATGGCATTACATGTTTGCAACTGACTAACTATGAAAACGGTGTTTTTTCCATCTGCCTGATTAATTGGTTTGATTTTCCACGTTGATCTACACGTATGTTCGTCCAAACGGCAAAATTACATAATATTATCTGTACTATCCCATGCACAGCGAGCCCAATTTCTAATACATTACATTCTGACAAGTCTTGTTGAAAATTTATTGTGAAAATTTTAAATTTCAAACATTGGACAACTGCTTTAATTTTATAACCCCAAGATCTGGAGGATTCCAGTCTATTTCATCACCAGAGTTACAGAGTAAGCCATCAGTATAATGCACCGCACCTCAAATTGATTTTGAATTTTGAGTGTCTCAAACTGTTGATAAGTATAGAACATAAGAAAATGCTTACTTCAAATTGTAAGTAGATTTTCTACATTCCGTCGCACCCAGCCAAACATAATTGAAATAGTGGTGTCTTAGTCACACAGAAAATGGAAGTAAAGAATTACTCTGTACCAGGACTTTGATACCAGCTGTTGACCCTTTGACTGCTAAGAGTGATTGGCATCTAATTTTTTTCCTCAATATCACCCCTGAATCAAGTATGAAGGTCATGAAAACAATATCTAAAGAGATTCTTGATTGCCCAAAAGTTCTCCTTGTCAGCACCCTAGGAAATGTATAGAGAACAGTTTGGACATTATGCATAATGAGGCTAGGGTATTAAGGGTTGAATATGTGTAAGTGCAGAATTAAATCCATGAGAGATGGATTTGAGTATGACAATCATGAAGGATATTTTTGTGGTGGGTTTAACTTGGCAGAGCCAATAAGGAAACTGACAAAAATTTCCTTTACTCCAGTTTAAAAATACTTTTTATTGATAAAGGAAGATGTAATGTCCCAACTTTTGCTTTAAAAGAGGAAAGAAAACAGATTATATGATCACATTGTTGCCCGTGGACAGCTCTGTTACTGCAACTCACCAAGAAATTTCACTGTGCATGGTAGAGTCTTTAATCAAGAATCAAGTCTGTGGTCAGTAGCAGAACCAGTTACATGTACCACAGACAACTAATTTTAAACTAGTTAACTCAAAAGATAAACACCTCAGACTTACCAGACACACCAAATATCTATCTTAAACTCCACAACTAGCAAAAACTACATTGAGAATTTTAAAGGACCAACTGATTTCTGTAAGCTCTTACTGTAGTTAACCGACATAATAATGTTGTTATTGATTTCCATCATTATATCTTTTAGACTCTACTTGAACAGATAAAACGAATGTATGGCAAAAACTACAGTGGTTTACCATTTGAAAAGATCACAACAACTGTTGGACTCAATAGTGAGTTGCTTTAATTTCTTTCTTAAAACAATGTAAAAAGATGCAGTGGCGTATTTGCAAAAGCAATCAGAATGGAATGATCAATCCATACAGATGTGAATTTAGTGAAGAATTTATATCATTTTCAATACAACTCTGCAAAACTGGGTTTGATCACAGGCACCAGCTGCTTTGGAGCTGGGTCACTTAACCCCTTAACTCCTAAGATCTCATTAGTAATTCTCCTTGTTGTCTGCCAAATGATTCTCATTATGTTAGTTTGGAGAATTTGGTATCGGATCAATTAGTAATCCCATAATTGATATTTTTCTTTATTCTCATCCCTTGTCTGCATGATATTGTATAGATATAATAAGTGGAAATTCTGTCTTGGTCACTTGTGGGAGTTTAAGGGTTAATGATGGATTTACATACAAAATCTATGTTCATTGATCAACAAGAAGACCAATGATAATGAAACATTAATTTTGTAACTTTTGTTTTCTTCTGTGAGCAGTTGGAAAAATAAACATGAGTCATGTGAAGTTGATATTTTGGGATCTTGGAGGTCAGCAGGAGCTACAAACCTTATGGGATAAGGTACAACTTATATAACCAACTAAGTTCCTGGTGAATGACCACACTTACCTATGATGTAGATAATGTATGAGCATTTCCTGCACTAAGAATACGAATGCACAAGAATTTACAATCCACAAAATACTTTCACCTATGCATGATTGGTGTGACATCATTATAAGATACCGCATTTTGTAATTGTTGCTCTTTTGATACTTTGTTTAACTGGTACTTTCAATTTAACCTTCCATTAGTAATTGAATCAAGAGGGTGGCTTTTACACTGTGCACTATACATCTCAGTGTTCTCCCTTATTTTACGCATGACTGGTAAAATAAATTTTCAAAACTGTAAAGCAATCCTTTTACCTGTTGAATTTTCAAGAATTTAAGCAATTTTAAACAGTAATAAGAGGTATTACAGGCGGTAAATGTTACCAGTTACTGCCTGAAAAGGAGAACACTGCATCTTGGCGGACTTGAACTTGAATATTTCATAATCTTCCTGTAGAAGACATGTAGAAAAAAATTGATGGAAAATTACACATATCTGCTTGTACTTGGCTTTTACAATTACTATTAATACTGTATTCAGTAAAATAATTTTGAACCTCAATGTAAATTGTATGATTTCTCATTAATTCCTAGTACTATGAAGAATGCCATGGTGTTATCTTTGTTATCGATTCCACTGATGAGACCAGAATGGAGGAATCTCATCAGGCTTTCAGTGAGTGTTCACATTTATATTATATTTGGAGTATTATAAGTTAGGACTGTTAATCACCCTCCATGCTGCTTTTTGTGTGTATGTCATTTTCGTTCACTTTAAGTCTAAAGTAACAAAGCTTATTATTTATTTTTGTAGACAAAGTAGTTCAAGATCCTCAGCTACAAGGAATTCCTTTGCTAATTCTTGTGAACAAGCAAGATCTAGAGGTTTGTCAAAGAATTCCTTGTACTAGCATCAATATAACCTGAACACTGTTTGTAGGGTATATTGTGGTTCCTTGTGTTTTGCCTTATTTTTGTACTCCTTCACTGGTGTACTTGCACTTGGAGACATGTATGCTATGATTATGCAAAACGAAGGAGAAAGTTGAACCACACCAAATACAACAGAATGTGAAATTAGCAGTCATTTAGGGTGTACATACTGAAGCTATGTGTACAATCAGCAACAAAATTGTCAACATATTGATTTTTTCAACCCCTTGTTACTTCAGTTTTATCTCTACTGCCTTTGTTAAGTTAACTTATTTGCCCCCCTCCCCCCCAAAACAATGTTGTATGGTGATTCCATGACCTTTAGCTACATGCAGGCAACATTGAATGGGTAAGGGGGGGGGGGGTCTTGTCAATGATTTAGATTGTGGTAGAAACAGGAAAAATAATGTGTCAAATAATTTTGACACTGATTACAACTTAATGATACTAAATTGAATATAGCTCTACCTGGTGCTGTATGTTGTTGGGTATTAAACTGTATAAATTTCTAATTTACAATACCATTGTGTAGTGTCTACACTAAATAAATCATTGAAAATTTGAACCTTGTATCTAGATGATAACTACACATATTTATTTTGCTTTAAAAGGGTTCTCAGGGAGTGGAAGCCATTAAAAATTTCTTCCATGATGACTCTTCTAGCAATGGGCAACTTGATTATTTTATTCAGCCAACATCAGCTTTAAGTGGGTGAGTAAAGAAATGTTGCTTTGTGAAACTAGCCAACTGATTTTTCTCAACAATATCAATTTCTTTAATTGTTGTTCATGCTTATTGTGGTAATTATTAGGATCTTCAACACTGTCTTTTAACCAATTGTTATACTCTGAATCCTCTCATTCCTTTACATGTACTTAGTCATTCTTTTCTTAAACATTATTTTGGATGTATTCCAATCTGGATTTATTTTACAGCTTTTATTGTAAATATAATTCACACCAGTGCTGATAATGGTGATGATGACAATGACGCTTACTATAATTGTAACATATGCTATTACCATTCTTGTTTGGCTGAGTTCTTTCATTATTTATTTGTAACTTCAGAATTGTAGTTCCAGTACATATGCAATGTACAAGTTGTTCTTTTTTATCAATGCACATCTCCTATTTGTGTATTGTAGTATCACTGCCAGTAACATGTACTTGTACATATAACTTACACTTATTGCAAAAAGATATACATTGGTGAAACAGGGAGAGGACTACTGTAGGTGCCCAATTCCTAAAACACCTTTGCAATGTTGAAAGAGATAATCAGGACACATCCAAACCAGCTGCTAGACACATTAATCTCTGTAGTCACTCTAAGCAGCACATGGCAGTCTGGGACCTTTCCTTACATCTAGGCAGTTCGGAAAGCTGCAAAACTCTAGAACAAAAACTTATCTTCAAATTGGCACTCTTGATCCCCACCACATCAAGGAACACTTTTCATTCAACTAATTTATTCTTGTTTTTCTTGTCACTGTGTTCCCACCAATATCATAGTTCCACTTTCTGCATATAAATGCACACACAACCCACAATGCCTCCATTGGCTCTGACAAAGGGCTAAAGCTTGAAACATCAGCTTTGGAACTCCTTATGGTGGCTAAGTTAGAAATACATTATTTATCAACTCAGCTGATAAAATCAAATTATCTTGTTATACTCCCTTACTGATGCAGCAATTTTTATTTTTGGAAACTTACCCCCTTTTATACTTGCTCAAATAGTTATCTGAATCAATTTCTAATATCTTTAGCTAATCAAAATGAGTGATTGTTAGGATTCCAGGTTCTCAATTTGCATACATACACAATCCCTTACACTTGGCACAATTTCAAAATAACTTGATCCTGGTAGCTTATAGAAACACTGATGGCCCACTATAAATGGCTCATCCCAACTTTTCAGAAACTCCGTGCTTTATGTTGAAAATGAAACCATTCTCACATGTAGTTAGGCATTACCTCCATATTTCAACATTTCATCTTCTGCCCATGCTTCAAAATGACACATTTGAAAATTATCAAACATTAAGGGCTGCTTTGAAGAAGGTCTAACCCAAGTTGCAGCTTTACACAGACAGTGGGTTAATTTAATTCGATAAATGTCCTTCCTGTTAACTTTTGGCCCTCTTGACACTGTTCACAAAAATGACAGTTTACTTAAATAGATAAAAGGTTCAAAAAAGTTGAAGATAGTTTAGAACACCATTTTATTAAACAATGGCTGAACTTTTTTTTACATAACCTATCCTTAGGTTTGCTTTGCTTCCCATGGAACATAACAGGATTGTTATCAACATAGACATGTTATGGGTCATCATGTCTACAATTTGTTCACATGTACATATTCAATTTGGTGAACAAAAAAAACAATGCCCAGTGAGCTGGAATTAAATTAAATTTTAAAAAAAGGCCTTCCTTTTGTACATGTAGCTTCCTGCATTTACACAACAGGAAATAATTGTCATTCACACAGTTAAAACCACATGGCTGTTTTAAATACCCACTCAAAACCTGAGGGGCTGGGTTCTTTTATGTTGGAAATATTCTAAACAGCCCAACTTTACATGCCTCATTACCCTCCCAAATTTTACAAACTCCTTTCCTCTTTGAAATTAAATTAAAATGGTAAAAAAATTTCCTTGATGTGCTGTGCTGTATAAATTGGGAAACTTCAATAGCCTGGGAAAAGAGAAATTTTAAACTCAGGATTATCAGACATTTGCTGTAATATATTAAATTTTCTGATAAGGCTGCTTTAAAATTAAAGCACTTACAAAAAAATTTAGGGCAATGTACTATTAGGCGTAAAAGTTCTCTTGCTCTTTAATGTACATGTACATATATATTGAATGACTGGCTACAATGGGTACACACTGGCTTCCTGTTTACACTCGTTTTTCAAAGACTTGTTGAGAGCCTTTTTCTTCAGGACATCATGGAAGCATCAACCACAATATACCTTTAATTGAGAAAATTTTTCCTAAGTGGTTTTCCATTGTGAGACACCTGCACATTTTCTCTCCTTTAAAGATTTTCTTACTTCTTATAATTGTGTATTAAACAGTTAGCTTCTCTCACTGTTAGGTTAAAATGAGAAGTTTGAGGCTCATTTAGATTTTTTCTATGCTTGGATTCAAATCAATTTCTATGTGATGATTTATGACAACTGTTCCAAGATCTCACCATCACATATCCCACATTTTTGGTTTATATTACAGCAAATTATTCTTCCATTGTTAATGGATTTTCTCCTTGAGAATTACATGTAGTTTAACTTTAAGTGACACTGTACCAACTAAAATCATAATACCATACAGCACTTTCACTTCTGATGATTGTATACCATTGTCCATGATAAACTTTTTAGGTAAGGGACCAGTCAGTACTTTTTGCAGGGGAAAAGGGGAGGGGGGTGGGGACAGAGGATTTTTGAGGGGATCACATGGTTATCAAGGGCAGTGGAGGGGGAATCAGTCATTGCTAACAGAGCATAAAGGGGGGGGGGGGTTACAGAAAATTGACTAACAATTAGGGAGGAAGGGGTGATCAGGTAAATTTTATTGTGACAGAACCCAAGTACTCTCCCCAGGTGATAATAATGACTAGTCCCTGAGATTATGTTTTTTCTCCTTTTTTTTCGTAGAGATGGGTTAGGTATTGGAATTGAATGGCTTGTACAATCAGTAAAACGAAATCTGGAACGACCGCCTCGACAGAAAGATATCACATAACTTAAACCTGATCATAAAGGAATTTCTTATTACAATAACTCTAAATTTCCAAGCAGAAAGGAGATGAGAGGAAAGAAAATATCAACAGGGAATGTTTTTTTATTTCATTAGCGTTAAATTCTCAGAGCTCAAATGATATTAAAAAACAAAACAGTAGACAGTGCGGAGAGTTGAAATTTAGATCTCAAGAGTGAATGGGCAATATAAGCTGGATAAAAAAGGCATACATTTTTGTTTTTTGTTTTTGTTATTTTTTCTTAATTTAAATGAAAATTTGGATTTCTTATTCACAAAATGTCCAGAGGAGATATCTTGAGTACGTGAAGGACGAGTTATTATAATGTGCATTATATCAAATATACTTAAAATTTATTCGGATGATGTGCGTGATACGAATAGCGTACTCATACAAGTCAGAGGTATTCAGATATAACAGAAAAATAAATATGCATCGCATTTAATTTGTACAAAAAGCAATGTTAGAGATGATCCAAGGAAAAACTACATGTAGGTACTGCGTAGACTACATGGCTTGGGAAAAAGGTCATAGGAAATTTCACGTCATGCTACGAGTAAATGTAAGAAAAAATGTTTGTACAGTATTTACGAGTGTTTGTTGCCTATTTAGTCAATGTGCCTAGCTGTGACATTAAGTTTGAAAGACATTGAAGTACAAAACTCTTACTTCGCTGTTAATCAAACAAAAAATTCGGTTGTTAGCCAACTTTGTCTGTTGATTCCTGTCATTCTGATTGATGGTGTTCTGAGTTCTGAACTTTACTATTCGAATGTTACTGACAAACGCAGTAGAAATTTTTTTATGTTGTGGCATTTGCCTGGTGTGCATTAATGTAACCTAACCCGATTCAGGAGGCCGTAACAAAATTAATGTTTCTCATATTTTATTATTCATTAACCGTAAACTGACTTTCATACTCACTGTAAGAGAGATTATTATATAATATTTATTCTTACCCAGGTTTAGGAATATTAAAATTGTCAAGCGAATTGGATGAGAAAAAATAAGTATAAACTGTCTGAGAATGATCACAAAAGTGTAACTTTGTAACCTTCCCTTTTTACCCACAGATAATAGCGAGGAACAAAGCGAAAATGTCGCTGCCATCACTAAAGATGGTAAACATTTTTATCTTTGCTATGGTTTACTAGAAAACAGATGCCATGTTTCGTGAAAGATGAAATTTGTGCGAGTGCGTCTGAAATAAGGCCATCTACATGAAGCTAACCTGATTGCACTACATCAGCTATGGGGTTTTAGTGGTAGGGCAACGACCTCTATGTTATTGAAAAGAATTAGTCTCTAAGCTCTTGAAAAAATTACTTCCTGAGGTGCTTATGTAGCTGGGGGTAATCTGAGGTGGTGGTGTTTGTCTGACCTTGGGAATGTAGAGGATCACAATCTTTCACGATGAATCTTATAATCAAAAATGCAACTGTATCACTGAACATAAACTATACAATAGAAATACCCTTTAAGTTTAAAGTTACCTTAAAGTGTCAGCAAAATTTGGTAACATTAATTTTTTTAGTGAAGAATGTGTATTAAGATTCGTTAAACTTTAGAATAACAATACCGGGATGTATTTGAAGTCTGTAACAATCTAATTTAGTTTAAGGAAAAAAACGGCTTGCAATGTCCACGCCTATGTTTATATAGCTGGTCTGAATGTTTACACTGCCTATCAAGGTTTGCGTTCGGAGGGGTATAAATCCTGTGTAAAAAAGAAAAACAGGGAACGTAATTTTAAATTAGATAATTGCTATCAGTTGTACTTAATGCAGCTATAACATTTAATTCTTGACAAATGATGAATTAACGCATTTGCCGAAACATGATTATTTTAGCGAGTCAGAGATCTTATTATGTTTAGAAAAGTTGAGAACAAACGATGGAGAAGAAATGACGGAGGAGAACTCAGTCATCTCTTTATATATTAAAAAATAAATAAATGAACAGCAGTTCTAACGAAGGTAACAGTAATAACACTGGTTACAGTGCCTAAAAAAACGAAACTTGGTTCTAATTATTGGCTACAAACTCAGATATGCATACCCCCGCAACAAGTGTTCCCAAGCAAAGCTTAAGTCGAGTGCGCGGTGCGACAGCGAAGACTAAAAGCAATCGCCGCATTTGGGTGATACAGAGGATTTTCCTTTGGAAAGTGTCAAATGTGAGGTCTCGGACATACAAAGTGATTTTTTTTTTCGTTGAAACTGAGGGTTGGTTCCGCCGCACGAAACAATCGACAACATCGAACTAATCATGCCATGCAAAATTGTCTTTTGCGGGACTCGGTGATTATACTAACAAAGCGTCATTGTTCAGTTATTCAAAGTGAAAAAAAGCGTGTTGTGTATTGCAGCATGCTCGCAGATAGAAGAAGCCCTAAAAGATTGTACTGTGTTTTTTCAGTACAGTTAACTGAATTCTCTCGCACAAATGCACAACCATAAGAACAGACACTGCAGAACAAGGTTTGTCACCTTTAGGTCTAGCTACTGACATAATATGAAATTCTGCGGTTTGCATAGAGACCAAACCAGCAGAGTGGTTTCAAAGTAGGGAAGGGGTGCACTAGTTTAGTGGAGTGAAACAGACTGAGCCTTCAGTCTTCAAAAAAACAGAAAGGTTTTAGCGCGTCATATACATTTCAATGAAGTATACTTAAAAAATCCTATGTGTATTGTTCATAAGTACGCCCTTGGTTGGGTCTGATTCACTCGCTCTTATTATTGATAGGGGCTGTACCACAACAAATTTCCTTTGGTACAGACACAGTGGAGTAAGACCTATCGCCTGTAGGTCTAGAGAATTACAGGCTGTGAACTGTTGCGGTTTTGTCTCAGAATGCAACACACAACGTGATAATATATTACTTGAAATAAGCGCCTGAGGTAGATGAGATTTTCTCAGTTTATTAACCAGTCGGGTACGGCACATGTGGCATCAGACAGATCGGATAGCACAACTGAAGCATACAAACTGGCGTCGAAACTACGGACGTTTCCGTGTTAACAGAGAGGATATTGTGAGCCTTCCTCACTTTTCGTGTTTAATTGGCTTAGGGTCGAGTATCTTGTTCGTAATTTACTTAGTTGATCTTTTTCGCATGCAGAAACAAAGAAAAGCCGACTACAACTTACAGATCTTAACAGGAAGGAGAAAAAATTTTTGCTAGGTCGGTTTTTTAAGAATTAAAATGACTAAGGATAAAAGAATTCTTCTGTCGAGAAAAAAAATTCCTTTCCTCCGGCCTTTTTTAAAGTGACACAAGTCTTTCATTAGCACTGCAAATAGCTTATTTCCGGCTAAAACGACAGGAACTTTTGATAAAATTAATACGTCTTTGACGAATGATATAACTATCCGGAGAGAATCACATTTGTCTCGTTGCTCGTCTCTTACCACCAGAAGGTGAGAAATTTACGGAATTTACTTGAATATAGACGGCCTTTTAGTTTTTTTGCGAGATTTATCTTAGCGTGGCGTGTTTTTGACCTCGTGTAATTCCTGACAAACGGTCATGAATCAAATTATCGAGGTTATTTTTGTACACACGTCATAGGGGAGAGGATAAGACAAATTTGTGATTTCCACGGGATAAGGTTCTTTATTCTTTAGAATTTCTGGTAATCAGCTAACGTGAAAAGAGTCTGAATTATGAACCGGTGCTTTTATGTAAATAGGTTTGCTTCGACGTAACGAAATCCTTCAGGCGCGTTATACCCATGCATGGAATGCACGATCCAGAAAGGTGTTATGAGAGGAAAGCAAAACCTTTTTCAATGAAGCTGGTCGATTTTCTCATACGGGAGTTTATATCTAGCTTGCTAAAGGAAAGGAAAGGAAAGGAAACTGTAATATCTATCGATAAAGTTTGAAGAGCTGGTAATGCATTGACAACACTTTTTGTTTGAAAGAATTTCTCTCAATTCACGTGGGTGGACATTTTTTTTTTAAGTATCACATCTCACTACCCCACAGATACGCCCCTCACATTATGCGGCTTGTAGATCAAACAGGCTACTTACTTTCTAGTTATAGGTTTACAAGTCTGGTAGACAACGTGGCGGTGATTAAATGTGATTATGAACAGGTTACAGTGTCTGGAAACCCAACCAAAAGAAATTAATTTAAGATGTGAAACCGCAAGGCTTGCGCGTACATTCCTGAGAAGAAATTGTTCGACGTTCGATGGGAAGAAACTGCAATCTTAGAAAACATGTGTTTTTTACCTTTTTATTTTTTCTTTGATTTTTGTAGATCTTAGGAGACAGGGCATGATCTATAGCAAATCTCCTTGTCATCATGTTAAGTTTTCCAACGATTTCAATGGAGTAATATGCTTGTAGACCCATGATTGCAAGCACTCATTTTACTGGAAAAGAGTATGTTTTTAAAATGTTCCAAAACAAAGTTTACCTTTTCGTTTTTTACTTAGCCACGAGTCCTTGATTTATGTAAGCGCAGAGGAGCTTCGGTGCAAAGTCGAACTTGAGGTCATTTGACGCCACTTCCCTTCTTAGTGATTTCCTTCTGCTTGTAGAACCATGATAATATTCAAGCGTGCGTTTTACTGGAAGAATATGTCTTTATAAAATGTTCCAAATAAACATTTCATTTTAATTTCCAGTTTTACTAAGCCACGAGTCTTGTATTCATGTACGTACAGACGAACTTTGGAGGTAGGTCGAACTTGACGCAACTGCGCTCCCCACCGATTTTAATGGTATGGTCTGCTTGTCGATCCACAGGTCTTATATTCATGTAAGAGCAAGGCAGCTTTGTTGCTGCCTTAGTCGAACTTAACGCCACTTCCCTTCAGAGTGCAATATGCAGTTATCTGCTATCAACATCACATCACAAATAGGCCATTTTACAGTTGTGTACCTAGTTGCCAATACTTTGATTTGGAGTGAGGCTGAAGGTGACCTTGTTGTGATAAGAGACCAGTATCTAGTTAGCATGATAACAAAGTAATTTGCATTTGAAAAGCAGCAAGGTTTGTATCATAACAAGGTCAACCTTAACCTCACTCCAGTTCAAACGCCTGGCAACTAAGCACACAACTGTAAAATGGACTATTGATTTTCGTTTCCCTTGGCAGTAAAGTTGCTGAGGTTCTACTTCTAGTATTCTAATTATACATTGTTGTGTAAACGTAAACTTTTGATTACTTAGTATTTTATACGTTTTTGAACTGCAAGCACAGAAAATTAGAACTGAAATCTCTCTGAACTCTAATCAACCTGTGTTCTTAACTCGCGTAAAAGCTGTAGGATACGACCCAATACCTTCATGAAGCGTACAAAGTAGCAGCACGTGTGCTCTGACTATGGCTAACCTTGAACTACCAAACTTGACGTGATGAATAAGAGAACACATTTGTTGTTGGCATTTAAAGACAAAAATGGTCTTTTTGTAGCTTTATATTTTTTTGGTGAAATATTATGTCTGTTGGTTCCCGAGGAATTACGAAAAAAATTTTAAAATCAATTAATTACAAATCAAACTGAAGTCACCTACTTGCTGATTGACATTGAATCAATCGCAAATATTAAAATATAATTAAGTCAAAGGTGGATCTCCCTCGAGAACTGCAAGGTTTTCATGCATATTTGAACTCATACCTGAGAGAAAAAAAAAGGAAAGGCTATACAGAAGAGTGACAATGCAGCTTCCCAAATACCTGGAAGAGAGTGAGGAGTGACTATTCAAGGTTGTTGATACGCCGGTTCCTGTAGAACGTGCCAGATGAATTGGATGAGAAAAAGAAATTAAAACTGTCTGATAATAAACACAGAAGTTTTCGTAGCTTACCCTATTACCACTAGATAATAGTGTGGAATAAAGCAAAAATGTCATCGCCATAATCAAAGATGGTAGACATTTCTATTTGCGCTATCTTGTTGTAAGGCTTATATTTCACGTTCAGTTTATGGAAGATGAATTTTGTGTGAGCTCGCCTTAAATAAGATCATCTACATGTAGCCCGGAAGAGAAAGAGGGGTGAATAACGAAGGCTATTGATAGGCCATTTCATATAGAACATGCTCTCGTACTCCCTCAGCTTTTTTCGGGAGAAACGGACTTCAGACCTAGGGAAGCGACGGTGATTAAAGAAAAGAACACACGTGATGAAATTATTTTGGTGGGGGTTGGGGGCGAAGGAAAGGGAAATTACGCCGAACAACTGTGAAAATATTATTGTGAGTAGAATAAGATAATCAGGCAAGCTCTGTAGAGTGAATCTTTTTGTAATTTAAGTTGTTATTTGTATACATAAGTAGGGAAAGGTGTCCAAGTCGGAGAGCTTGATATCTCTTTTGGGACAATCGACATATTTCTGTCACCACGTCTCTGTACACGTAACGTTTGAAAAATTTTTTCTTTTCAAGCGTTGTTTAAGGCCTCGTATTTTCGAAGAAACCTTCCAGCCAAAGCACTGATTACGATGGCCTGCTCGAGGGCTAAAAAAACTCTGTTATGAAGGAATAATGTTATTTACCATGCTATATCTACTGACCGGCTCAAGTGAAAAGAGAGATTACAAATGAGTTTCGTTGGCAAAAGATAACGAAATCTCTTCAGAGCATATCTAACCCTGCATCGAGTTCTTATAAAAATTATATCTTTCTATTATCGGTAGCAAGACTACGTCTATTAACGCTCTAAGATTTTCCTCCGCAGAAAATAATTTACTGGAGAGGAATTTGCCCTTGATAACACTTTTTGCGGTTCGAAATTAATTTGCGTCACTCACGTGGGTTGAACTAGGCAAGACGTTGAATTCGGAAATGTTTCACCTATTCAAGAGAGAACTTGGTTGAATTAAATACCATCTGCAAGGTAGTCTGGCATATCTAGACGTTAAGCTTTCAGTAACAATTCATCTGCTTTTCTCAGGTCCTTCTACTTGAAAGCAAAAGGCATTCCGTGATATTTTTACTGGAAGCTTTCCATAACAGCAGGGTAACGCTTTTGAAAAAGGTCAAAATAGTTCAGGTTTGCTAGAAGATCATAGAAAGCACGTGCTCACAGGAAAATATTTTAGTGGAATACAACTTACAAACCAACTCATTTTTTCTAACAGTTTTCTCAATAAAACTGAGGGTTAGTTCTGCAGTCACTTAAAGTTTTTAAAAGATCGAATCTGTCGTTTCGTAACCTTAAAAAACAAAATGAATTTCTATTGAGCGGAAGTATACATTTTGCCTTTCTCCCGGTACTAACAACAATCACTGATGGAAGCTGTATTGAAAACAATTTTTTTCAAATTGCTTCTTCTAAATGTGCGCGCCTTACCTGCACGAAATGATTACAGGTTCGCGGTCTGTACACTTCAAGCTAATTGCTCTTTTTTTTGCAGCAGGCCTTTTGAACGTTTTAAGGAGAGCATCTAGGTTCCATTTATTAATGGGGGTTTATCACATACTTGGCAATTTATAAGTCAGACACACACTCCTTGCGCTTCATTTTAAAATACAGTACATGACATCATTTATTTGCTGTTTGTCTTTTACTAAATATCATAATTAAATTATATAAGTGGAACTGTTCAAGGCTTGATTTGGGACCCAAACATTCCATCGTTATGTAATTTGGTGGAAGGCAATAGCGCCTTCTTACCCATGCAGAAGACTTTTGAAAGTAAATAAACGCAGTCCGCTGTCAGCGGGAGGATAAGTAAACAGAAAGGTCTGTGATTAGACTAACATAATCACAGTTCTGAGAAACACGTTCGTCACTAGTAGAAAGTTCTCGTTTGTCGAGTTGTCCTCAAAAATCTCGCACGAAAGAGATCACGTGGAAGAGAAACTTGAGCGTCGTTTGCATGGCTTTAAATCAGACAACCTTTAGCCCATTAGATGAAGGTGCTTTGATAAAGAAATTACTTTTTTATGAACACTATATTCCACGAGGCTCAGGCAGGATTTTGAGTTTCAAATGTTTCCGATGAAAAATTACTAAGTGTACGTACTGATCAAAGGTGCATGCCATGCCTCAAACAGAAATCTCTCTGATGTGAAAAGCTAAGCTAATTATGTCGATATCAAATAAAGTAAGGGAGTTTGGCAAGCACTTCAAATGAAGAGACACATGTTGAAAGGCCATTCTTTCCCGCAATGAAATGAAAACTACAAAAAAATTTCACACAATGAGAAGAATGTAAAAGCGAGCCAAAATCAAACACTGTGACGAAAGATAGCGATCACCAAGCTCGTGTAAGCTGTCAGTTCCTCTTCCCGCAGAACAGTTACTTTTGTTACTGAACAAAACAGATTTGTTTAATATGACAATGCCATGCGAAATTAATTGCATGTGGAACACTTTCACTGCATACAGTTCGAAATAAAAACAGTTCGAAACAAAAAGTCAGTTTTAAATTAAATGTATGTAGAGGTTTGTGTAAGACTCATGATAGAGCTACCTGATATCAGTTTGAAGGTCAGCTTTCCCAATCTTAATGAAAAGCATGATTTTGCAAACACTTTACGCTTACCACAAAGCTTTTAATGGCTTTAAAGCATTCCACTGCGTGGCTATTTTTTATTTCATCTCATGTGTGTTACACTCTGTTGAGAAAGTAGCGTTTGTAATTCATATGTTTCGAAGTGGAGATTAATTGACTTGAACTTATAACCTTTTGATGACGCTCGTACACGATTCGCTAACCACAAAACAAGAGAGGTGGAACGCATCCAAAACCAATTTTCTGTACGTGTCCTTCTCAATGTAATGGACCTTGTACGTGAGGTCTGTAAATAAACATTGACCTCCTTGAGCTGTTTCACTGATATTAATGTTTCGAATTGTTCAGGAATAGTTTGCAATCGTATCTTCCAGATTGCTGCAGTTTTACGTCCTAATGCACTTTTAAATTGTATTTTTTTCAGATTTTAAACAACTGCAAATTTCACACTACCAGTTGACGTAGATTGTAAATACCTTGGTTAAAAGGTTTATAAATTCCATCACGATGCTTCATTTGAGGAGAAAATAAACATTGTAGCTGTGTTCCAAAACACACCCACGTAAGGACACGATTTACAAGTAGTGCTGTTTGTTTTTAGAAATAGAAAAACCCCTGAGTCACTCTATGGAAAGAGCCTAATTATAGTCCAAGATCGTTACTAATACCACGCCCTAGACGGAAGTGTCCTTCTGTTAATTCCTTAGATCCCTTGTTTCTGAAATGCGTGTTCCAGGGTCTTTACTGAAACGGAAGAAAACACTATGAGGCATTAATTAAGCCTTAAAACAGATGGGGTTTTTTTTAAGCACCTCTTCATTTCTAGCCTAGATTTAATATGTAAGAAATTATCACGTTTTATCAGTAACACTTTCACAATTGTGAATAGTCCCGCTATCTTTAAAAACAAAGGATATTGCAGTTATGAGGTAATCGTGTATTTTACCTTGGTTAAAGTCGATTACGTAACTCCAAGTTCGCATTGCCAAGTTCAGCTGTGTTTAATTACACGAAAAATTCATTGGGTTTTTAATCTTTTAGATTAAGCAAATACGCATATTATATCTTACATGTTTTCTCGGTTCATTACCTTATCTACTGTTTTCATTTCAATCCTTGATAACATTTGACATAATGAAAAAAAATCAATCACATAATACTTTGTGTTGTTAATTGAAAAACAAGTTTGTCAGGTGTACGTGTTTTTTCACGCCAAAACGTAACTTAATTTTGTCAACGGTTTTATTTTCTCCTATCTTAAAACTGCCGTGGACCTTGTTAATAATGTAGCTCTTTTGGATGGACCTCTATCAAGGAAAAGTAAAAAAAATGTTTTTCAGGAAGAAGAATGACGAAATTGACTTAGAAGGAAAAAAAAACGTAATTCAAAATACAAATTAAGAATCAATTACATTCGTGTCGTTGTCCTGTTTGAGGTCACACAACTATGTTCGTCAACTCGTAAATCTTCTAGTGCCTCTTAAAACCCGGAAGTAAAGATGAGTACGAGCAAGTTGCTAATGAAACGTGCCAGCGAGAATGTTGTGGTACACTTCTTTGTGGGCAGGTATCCTTCTCAAGCTGAGGGGTAATAAATGTAGCTGTAGTGACGTAGACAGCAAAGAAAACCTGTATATGTTACGACAGATATGATCCATTATTTGTGTTCGTTTCGCTACGTGACATTTGCCAAACATAATTTAGATACAACCACAGCAACTGGTTCACCGCATCCTTGTTTGCACACGCTCAAATTATTACTTAAATCAATATTTTTGTACAAAATTAAATATTCCCCAATTTCCCCTTATATCTTAAATTTACCAAGCAAACGTTAAATAGAGAAAGAACCCTAAAGAATAAACCAAGTTGTAAATTTCATTCAACTTATCAAAGTTAAAGAAAGGTTTCCACGTGCACCTCTCGTAAAAATGCTTCCTTGTAGTTTTTCTTCAAAGAGGGGAAACTCCTCAAAGAATTGTCGTAAACTTTAGCTTACAATCAAGGTTATTATTGGACCACTACCTCTCTGACGAAGGTCAGTTTGAAAACGTGCCCTTATGAATTTAAAACGAATGTATTTTTAGAACTGTGGTTTTTAGATTTTTACTTGAGATAAGGCACGACTCACGCATGCTAAAGGGGGAAGGGGGGGCTCTGGCGTGAGCGGGGCGAAATCTCTTGACACCCTGGTAAGAAGTAATTTTAATATTTTTCAAGACAAATTCTAAGATGGTGTCTTTTTGTAGAGAATTTTAAAGATGAACAATGCTCGAACTGGTCTTCTGTAAGAGTTTGTTTTATAATTTTCAGCATGGGTATCACGTAGAAAAACGCCCCTCTCCCTAACATGTTGACAAATGACATTGCATGTTTGATGCCTCTCAGAAACAGAAACAGAAACAGAAACCAACAGGAAATGATCTCATTATCATCTTTCGTGATCTTCTTTTAAAATTACACAATAGCGAACGTGTGCTTTGTCATGTAATTTGCCTAAAGGCTTTGTTTTTTCCACAAAAGCCGTTGTTCTTTGTACAAATCACGGAAATAAAGACAATGGGAGTGGTTTTAGTAAGTGTTTTTCTTTTTCATTGAAACATTTTGCTCGAAATTAGTTACCTAATCAGAAAGGATTAAAAGGTTTCCAAATCTGAACAGAAAAAAGAATTAATTGCACAAAATATTGAAAATGATAAAAGGCCTGAATTGCTTTGTGGTACTGAAGTTTAAACAGCGTTTTAGCATACCGGTTGTTTTTGTTTGTACACACCTCAAACATGATTGAAAAATTTTACCTCAAATCTAGCTATACTGGTCTGGCACATGCAATAACAACTCAATTCTATGTCATATTTTGCTTGAATATTTATCTCTTTATCTATTAAAAGTAGGCCAGTATGATTTTACTTTATTCTTCATGCGTTTTAAATTGATTGAGATCTTTCTCCTGTCACAAGTTTAGAGAAAACCCTTACGCAGTCGTTCAGGGCAGGCAGATTTATCAGTTAGGTGAGCAACTCTTCCTGCTCGCTCGTCTAATGAGTAAAGCCTTTGATAAGCCATCATTTTTTCCGCAAACAAAGAGGAAAGCTAGGATTTTGAAATATGATTTTCTCGCGCTGAGCAAGGATAACTTTTCAAGAATGTGCAGTGCTTTCATTGCCTCATCGTTCTTTAGTGTTATAGAATAAAAAACATTTGCAATGGTCTCCATTTAAGACTGAGGTCATGCACGTTTGAATATTCTTCCGAGGGGTTGAATTTCGATATCTTTGGATCGGATGGAGTAGATTTAATGAAAAAAATGCCAAAGTAGCAGTTTGTTGAATGGGTACACCACTGCCTCTCAAGGTAAAGACATGGCATGAAATTCGAACGAAAAACTTTTCGTAGGAGCAGCTCAGGAATTTGATGCATGTTGTTTTGTTAGTTTACTATATTACTTCAATTATCAGTCTGGAGAGATGGAAAGTAAACTGAAAACATATCATCATTCATTCAAAATGCACGTTTAGACAATCGTACCTGCTCATTCCTTCTGTGCAGGTTCATCATAATGCAAATCGTGACAGTTTTTCTTTTGCCAATATTTTGCAATTGTAATTATTTGTTTTTCAAATATGTTACTTAATAAGAGTATTATCTACATAAAAGGGCAACTATTTGGCAAAAGAATTTCAAATAAAGCAGCAAATAAAAAACCGCAAGTAATTACTGCATTGACGAGATATGATGCAATGATCGGATATCTCACGAATGATAGAAAACAGCTGAAAATAAGTTCGTCATCTAAATCGAGAATTGGACGGCGAAAACCTACGTTCTCCAATTCAACAAGCAAAACCAATCACCCTGAACTACTAGTGTTGTTACTGATAGAGAGAGGGACTCTGCTCGTAGATTGCATTTGTGTAACGACTGAGACAAACAGACGACCCTAAAAGCTTGTTCTCAATTAATTATATGGAATTTACAGAATGATACAGGGTGTGTTCACGTAGATTTGTTGTTGTCCTCTAGGGCTACTTACAAAAGAAAATTTATTTTCTTCGACGGTAATTTGCTCAAAGCATTTTGCTGTTTGATACATGCAGCATCAATTATTCATGCCGCGATTGGTTGTATAATTTGCATTCGTGTTTGACGTAGAGTATTGTCGTAAATCTGTTTCCCAGTGCAGGCTATCACGGCAACCCTAGTTGTTAAAAAAAGAAAACTAGACCTTTAACTGTATTTAATGTTTAATATCTAGTGTGGCTTACTTTGCGTATGTTATTAAATCACATCTGTTATCCCTGGATTTTATTTTGTTATCATTTTTTTCAAAATGAATGCCCAGAATTTGTTCATCGTAATAGCTGTATGAAAAACAGGGAGTGAAATGGCCTGACTTGTATGACTTCACGCCCGAGGATTTACTCTTAGCATTATCTCTTTGTCACATTCACGACAAACACTTCAGAGCTTGGCTTTTTGGGAGGGAAAACCACAAAACCACAAGGCTGCTAAAAGGGTCAACACAGCCAACCCAAAGAAATCTTAAGGATATCCGGAATTTCTCGCCTGGATGTCTGAGTTACCTTCCTGGAGAAACTAAAACTTGATAATGTAAACCTTGCTAAAATACGTCAGACTATAGATTTAAATTTTTTTTGTATCAATTCGGGTCTTAAGTGGGGGAAATTCCCATTTCCAATACAATGTACGTGCCTCTTGTCAGTTTTATTCATTGCTTTTTACAGTTTGTTTCATGACCAACGAAGCTAGGAGCTTAATGCCAAAAGGGATCAAAAGGGAACAAGTTGCCTTGTCCATGTCCTTAAGTGCATAGTCAAGAAATGATTTCGCTCATTTTAGCTACCTCGTACTCCTGTTATGAAAAAGATGGTCAAATGAACATAACGATATTTTCTTACAAGGCGAAAGTTTATTTTAGTTCTGTGTTAAACTAGTCATACCCCCTTCTGAACGTTAACGTGAATTTTGCTTAGAAAAATTCAAAGTGTAATTGAAACGTCATTTTAAAGACCTTAAACGATGTCAATTCATTTATTTTAATGCATCAGTAGTCGAATATGATTTATGATAAAAAGATAAAAGTCTAAAATACTGTTAGTCAGTTTTTCCATATGAAAGAAGATTAAATAAAAGTCCATCAAGGCCAAGATTTGTTACTTAATATCCTCACTCCTATTTCATGAATGTTCCTTAAAAACACTTAGCCACTCAAATGGCATCAATATCAAATTTTAAATCTGCCCGAGTGGGTAAGATTTCCCGTTTATTAAGTACTGCAAAGTAAGGGTTTTACACGACGTTTACTGCCTTCTTAATTTCTCAGTGTTGGCACACGTAGATGTTATGGTTTGGCAGGCTATCTGGCTCCGGCCATGCGATCTCGCTGCGACCTTGACAGTGCATACTGAGCATTTTGACAGAACGGAATGCAAAAAAGGCATATTTCAGTATCTCTACCTGTTTTCAGGAAGTTCTACCTTAAAATCGCGGATTAAGTGTTTGTCAGAAGTGAAAATTGAAATCAGAGATTCCTTTCTCGAGACACTTGCATTTCATCTCCAAAATATGTTGTGTACAAAATTGTTAGCAACTATGAAGTAAATCCTGGAAATCCGCTTAAGACAATACGTGTAATAAAAATGTTATTTTGTCACAGAACTAGATTGCAATCAGTACGTTACACGAAAAGTTACGACAACGTTGGTCCAAATCTGCCTTTAACACGTTCTGATCACCTCATTGTGGTTTCTGCAAATGGGCGTCTCTTTCCTTGTCTAACGAAAATGGCACGAAAACGCGAAAAAAAGTAATGATAATAATAACACACACAATAATAACTCTAACGTAAAAGTCAGCTCAAATCAGTGTTCGTCATTAATACCCTGCACAGTGCTTGAGTAGCCTTAAATTACTGTCGGTTTGAGCGAGCTCTCAGTTTAAAATTTAATCGAGTTACAACCGCAGTGAAAATCTCTTTGGTGCTAAAAGGGTCTGAAGCGTCAGACGACAGGGAAGGGTTAAACTTGAAAGAAATACTGAGTAATTAGTGTCCCCACCGTGTGGGAAAAAGAGTAGCAGCGTGTTCACACATATCGCTCTCAGATATGATCACTTACTCAATTATGGCTTGATAAGGCTGATCTCCTAGCTCGCCAGTGCGTATTTTTGACACCTGTTTTTTTTACTTTATTTTGACGTTACTTGACTCTTAATTTTTGCCCATTAACAACGGATCCTCCATCTTCAGGGACCGGCATAAGACTATGATCAGAGGCCCGCTAATTAATCAGGCAGGTTTTGCCGGCCGGGTGTACATCTCGTGTTTATAAAATCAAAATCTCGGCCCAGCGCCTGGTCGCGTGTTGCTTTCCCCAGGCGGGCCATGCGCTTCGACTGAACATGTTACACTAAAATTTCTTGAAGTAAATTGTTTCTCTATCTCGAATAGAATTTAATTTAAGATATTAAGTTATCCTCGAATGATGTAATGCACAGCCTCCTTATTTTTTTATTTTATTTTTTTTTCAAGTTATAATTAACTTTATTTACGTTTTTTTAAAACCATTAATGCCCAGTTAGGTAAACTTGGTTACATCATCTCAATCTGCGAGCACATGAAAGAAGAAACGTTTTCTTTATTTTCTTGCGTTCCGGATGATTCTAGACAAACTTCCTTTACCGTTCTACATCTCTTCAAGTTCAAGATGGCGATCGTGTCAAGGATGAACTCGTGCGTGCTAAAATTAGTAACTGACAACGAAGAGCTGTCAAAATTTACTACTGTTTATACTGAAGGGATAAGCAGCTTCAGCCAAACTGAACTTACGAATGTACGTTTACAGTGTTGTTAAAAAAATCATTTTGTGTCCAGATTAGAACGTTTACTGCTAAATTTTTGCTTTGTCGTAAATTAAAGTGAAAAGAATTTTGTTTAGGCATGACACACTCTAGCAGGATTCGATCGCTTATCCGTTTTTCAAGGGATTGCTGATGTCAAACTTCTTGTTAAGCCCATAAACCAATCTAAAGATTTATCTTATAATCAACGTCGATGCGCTACAATTTCACCGCTGTGCGCATCTATCGTTTCAGGTTAATGAAGAGATTGTTATGAAACATCAAGCGAAAAAGATAACAGAAGGGTCTTCAAAGTCTATAATTAGCAACAGATAGTTTTCACAGATAACATTACGCAGATAAATCTTTGCCTTCATTATTGAAATTAACTTAAAGCGCGTGGACATTTCTAGCATCTTGCTGAGAGCTCCTTTTCGAAACGATGTGCACGTGGATAGTTATTTAGAATATATCTTTATTCCAGAACAATCGATCAAGCAGATGTGGGTCAATATTGGGGAAAGCGAAGGAAGCTTGATGCATAACACAAGGCGTGCTAATGAATAATTAGCACAAATCACAGTTCTTTTGTTCCAAGTGATGTTCGAACAAGCCTAGTTTCCGGTGTAGAAAGAGATTAGCACTAGGAGTCAAGGGTGCCATAAAATGTCTGAAAACAACTTTTCGCCATGAAAAACCTTTTCCGGACTCAAAGACCTGTCTTTGGGCATAAAGAACCTTTCATGGACTTAAGCGAAATCGTGACGTCAGACAGGTCTGATACGACTTTTTAACGAACTCGAACAACTGTTATTCGGACGACGCAATCACGAAGTAACTTAAGCTCCAATACTATCGCATCAAAAAAGGGAAATGATCGATTTAATCGAAAGTTGAAACATAGTTATCAAAATGAAGCGAACGCGACGCATATGTCCAAAGCTATTTGGTTAGGTCAAATTTAAAAAAACGCAAAAATTACGGTGGAAAAAAATCTATCTCTGTGCAAGATTATGACAAGTGTTGACACATCTCTGTGTGTACTTTGACTGGCGTGGGCCAATCGTTTTCACCAGAGATAACAATCTGTGTGTAAGCTGATTTTATGAGCTGTCAAATCAAGAAAACTTAGAAAGGCTGAGACGGTGAATTTTTTCAAGCCGGCCTAAACAAGGATAACCACGACCGCACTAATGGCGGTAACATGGCACCGCGCGCACGAATCAAGACACTAATAAAGCTCATTAGCAAATCTTTATTTTAAAAGCAACCCGAAATTGTACATCCAAATATAAACTACGGTAGATTGCATGCATCGCGTATAAATTGAAGAAACTAGGAGACGTACTTTGTACCTCGATCGGCCCCTTGCGGGCTTTTTAGCCTTCAACTGTGTACATCACTTGTATTTGACCCCTTATGTAAACTGTACATTGAAAAATAATTCCTTGTCTACGCATTGCGCTTGAAAGTAAGACAAAACAATACCGAAATTATGAAATAAAGTGTTCGTTGGCATCGAACGTGACGGCTGAAAAACTGTCACCCTATCGATATTGGCAAAAAATCTCGGCACCAAGTCCTTGCGTAATGGAATTTTTACAGTCAAAAGTCTGCATAGCTTCCTCGATAGTGTTACCTCACCAGGCCACATCACACATAATATTTGCTGTTTCTGTGCCGTCTAGGTACTGATCGAATTCCTCCCTGTTGAAGTCTCCTTCGGGTAACAGCTCCCTGATATGTTGAGCGAAGTAGAAGATCTGATTTGCACTGGTGTCATTGGGTTGAAGTTGAGTGTTCGCGCTACCAGGCATCATCGGCACAGAATTCGGTACCTGTAGGCCTCCGTTTGTGAGATAGATCGGGCTCACAGGCGCTGAATTTGAAGTAGATACACCGACATATGGCGGTGGGGAGGTGGGATGCGATTTTATCTGCACACTAGTGGGCGCACTTTGAAGGTCTTGCCAGCAAGTTGGGAAGTTAAACTCACTACCAAATTCGTCAGATCCGGGACTCGTCTCTGGTGTGGGAAGGCTTATCTCGGACAAATTTGGCAAGGTGGAATGGCCGCCGAGATGTGTCAGCCTTAAATCTCCGTTTGCAAACGGAATTGGTGCAGATGACTGACCAAAGTTCATTAAATTTTCCTCTGCATGGTTGACCGCGAGTTGTCCGCACTCGGCACCTGAAGTAGAGTGCGAGACATGGGCTGTTGTTTCTTTCGGATTGCGTATTACTGCACAGTTCGGGGGTGTAGAAGATGTCATTTTCTTACAAACTCTTTTGGGGTGTTTTCTTCGCCTGGGCCGATATTTGTAGTCAGGGTGATCCTTAATATGCTGTTGCCGCAAACGCTCGGCCTCTTCTACATAAGGTCGTTTCTGCGACCCGTTCAGCGATCTCCAAGCTTGTCCCAGAATTTTACTGAGCTCGGCATTGTGCAGCTCTGGGTTTGCATCCGCCAGTCGTCTTCTCTCCACTTGTGCCCAAACCATGAAAGCGTTCATAGGACGCTTGATTCTGTCGGAGTCGTTCTCCATAGCTGGGTCTTTCTTCGCGACAGCTCCTTGGTCCATCGACCCCAGCAATTTTGCATAATTCTGGCTATGCCGCGGCAGTTGAGGGTGACATACACCGATCGGATTGTCAAACCCCAAGGGGTTTAAAATTTGTGGTAGAGGTGCCGGGATTCTCTTATTTCGTACCGTTCTTCGATCGGAGAGCAGCATTCTGTCGTCGCCATGCATTTCTTCGCGTTCTGTGCTGTTATACGGTCGTGGCGAGGTTAGCGCGGAAGAATTTTCTTCTGACTTCAAAAAAATTCGCCTGCCAAGCTCCCTGCTGCTATGATGTCTCTGATATGCAAGAACACGTGTGATAGATGTGACAAGCGAGTTGAAAATAAGCTTTTTTATCACGTGGTTGAGAGGAGACATGTTTATGTAATACGTCGAGGGAGCCAATCAGAGAGCCGTAAATTTGACAGTGCAATAGATCCTGGTGCCAAGATGACTACGTCTTGAAAGGATTTGTGCCCGTATATTTCATGGGTATTTTACCGAAATATCGGGTTACGCTAAAGTAACCTGAGGGTCAAGATATCCGGGAGCTATCAGGAAATATGACGTTTTGGCTCCAGCCCACAAATTCCTTGCCAGAAATTCCGCCAAAACGCCGTAAGTGTCGTGCAAAGAGTAATCAGAAAAGTATGTCCCAGAGTGCGGAACCGAAGGGATAAAGTTATTTCCTTCCGACAACGCCAAACTGTCTGTTTGAATCAACTCTCAATGCATTTTATCCTGTAACAGACTGTCATGTAATTAGAATATGATGTAAATACATCTTTGGGTGCGCCATGCTAGGTGTTACGGACTTTATTCAAACTTTTCGGAGTACTTCCACGTTTCTATTGCACCTCTCGATGGATATTTCGTGAATCAGAAGGACTTGAGTAAACATGTGCAGCCCTAAAACAAAACTTAGTTCATCCTTAGCTTGGACGTGACCATAATATTGACTTTGAGATTAACACTCCGTGGATTTTGGCAACACAGGAGGGGCCAAGGCCGTCAGGAAAATGATTAGCGAAGCATATTGCTGTGGCACGAGGCTTTTACCGGTTCATTCGTTGAAAAAAAATTTTTTTCTTGTTTTATTTCCTCACGCAAAGGCTATCAAAACTGGCCAGACGTCTATTTTGTGGGCCATGATGACATTTCCCAACCAGAGCAGCCTTACCCAGTCAAGTACATGTTAGGAAGTCACATATGTTAACGAAATAATATGTATTTATCAGTCTCTTCTTTTATTTTAAAAAATAGTTAAAGCTCGATACTAATTCCATGAAATTTCCACGGAGAAAAAGCGTAGTTTTGGTGATACGTTAATGCGAAATTGAACTTTGATTTCCTCAGCCACTGTCCAGTGCGTGCCATGATCAAATGCATCACACGTAACCTCTTTCACTTTCATACTCGCCAATGGGGCTAGTGGAATATAGAGCGGCCTTGTTGTCGCGAGAATTTAAACCTCGTGAGACTACTTAGGAAGAAAATCAGTCTGTAATCGCAGGATGACACATTCGGTAATACAATGTAATTTTGCCTTAAGTTTTTACTTCTTTAAAAAAAATCATGACCTTTCACGCGGATTACTGGAAGATGCACTGCATTGTTAAGGGGAGGAGAGGGAACATTTCATTTGTGAGGCTTTTTTCATCAACACAGCTTTTTATCCATATATCTTTGGCGCGAGCAACTTATGCTGAATGACATTCCCGTTTCACATGCGTACAACGAAAAACTACAGTATTATGAAAGAAAAAAGATAATTGGGAAGGCAAAAATCTGACTATAGTTTAGGTCCTTCAATCTTACAACTTTCCGCCTCAAAATATAACGCCAAAATTCGTCGAAATACCCGTACGGTGATTGATTTTCACTTTCTTTCTTAAAGTTTGAATTTAACAAGTTCTGCCTCAAAGTGCGAGCCGTCTCCTTCCAAAGGTTTTAGTTGACTTCTCCGCTGGTTCTTTAAAGACTGTGCGCGTGCTCCTATTCCCTAAACTAGAGAGCAATTAGAAAAAATAAACTGTGAAATTTTTTAAAACAAAAATAATTCAGCAATGAGTTTTTCTAAGCAATGACAAACGTCGTCGTCCAAAACCATGCCGACATTGTAATCTTTCCTAATGTACACTGGCTAGTCGCGCGATCAAGATTTTTGGGTCCTATCGGATGCGTGTTTTGGTTCATCACTGTGAACCAAAATTTTTCGCTTTGTTAAAATTTTCATCGTCAAAATAAAATTCATTTGGACTGCCTAATCGGATATGAAACCGTTACACAGCGCTAAAATATCAAAAGATCAGCCGCCATAACCGATAAGATACAGTAAAAGCAGCTTTTTATCGGTATTCTTTGTCACTCTGTCTGCCGAGACGACCTCGTTCAAACTTCAAGAGCCCAAAATTCACCTCTGTTATTGACAGAAAGTTAATCTGGTTTGAACTTGGGGCTCAAATACTTTAAGATTTTTTACTCTAAGGACGTGCTATCTGATTTTTTTTGTAACAGTGTCGCCAGTCTGCCCAAATGTAAGATTAGGAGCGGAAAGAAACGGAGAAGTGCAATCTTTTTTTTATGTTTTTGAAGTCTGTGGTTTAAAAAGTATATTCTATGACATGACTTCATGATCTAGATGAAGGGTGTTGACAAAAAAATATATACACCTGAATTAACTCCGTATGTTGTGGCGCCGCGCTAGAGTACCAGTGACGAGCAATTCCGGTGATTTGTTCGAGAAATTCTACTCCAAAAGACATATTTCCTGATTTGACTCACAAACTTACAAAGCGGTTCTTGGGAGTTTCTCGCAAACAGACTTAATGGCGCCTAGAAGAACAACTGACATCCAAATCCGTTTCGTAGCTTTGGACTAATATTTACCCTCAATGCGTTACCTTGATTGGCGACCAGTTCCGGTTACAAGAAAAGTACTCAATAAGGAGCAAACAAACTGACAACTGAGGCGGGCCAATCGAATGGAATATGATGTGAGCTTTATTTTGAAGTTATCTTCTTTGAAACATCTATTGAGATGATAATGGCTTTTTGTTTGTAACTGCTGTGTTGCTCAGTGACAGCTGTGCTGTACTAGCTTTTGTTAACAAAAAGGGTTTCGCAAGGCTGTTGATAAATACTGTTTGTTATCAAGATAAAAGATTAATACTTCTAAGTCCACGATTCAATTAAATTTCCTGGTCAATGAATTCCTTCAAACTGATACCTAGAAATTACAAATGTCTCAGCGGCCCTCAATTGTGGTTCATGCGATATCAATACGAAGTGAAGGTTTTTCTTCATGAGATCCGAAGTCCGACATATTTATTCCAGTTTATTTAAGCAGTAGACAATTTCTGTGCTTGATTTGTTTGAGGGGTTTTTCTTTGTTCTATAGATGTTATCTACTTCATCAACATCTGTTGGGGCCTTCAAGGTGATAGAAACTAGAGACACACGAGAGTCAAATAATTTTGCTCCAAGAATTTGTTTACTTCTCCCTGCCGTCCTCTGCGCTTCCGAAAAGTCTCCTGCGTCTTGCCGCTAAAGCGCATTTCCGTTTTCCAAGTATCGCATACAAGACCTTGTGTCGCTCAGAAAGCTACACCGATTTCATTTGAGCAGGGTGAGATAGATTACTCCCTTATAAAGGGGTACAAGCAACGTCTCTGACTCTTTTGCTTAGTCCTCTTTGTCTAAAATTGAATATCATGGATTGAACCATTTGGCCCCGAGTATTGGGGTAAGGTTTCGTTCACTTCCCGGAATCCTGTACTGGACTTGGAGGTGTTTCTGGCGAGAAGAAGCTTTTATGAAGTCAATCAGGTCCTGAATAGGGTGAGTCAGTTCCTCATTTTGTCTGAGAAGGGATAGGGAGTACAAAATGTATGCCCCACACCTCTCCTGAGTACACTCTGTCCCTTCCCTTCCCCTCCCCCACTTCCGGTCTCTTGAGCCACAGACGTGAAGGCCATGTCTCAAATAGGCTGAACACTCAGTTGTCATCGGTTCTTGCCCAAATCTACCCGAGAATTCGGTAGCAGAAGCATAAGATGGTCGCAGAAACGAAATGGTTCGTATCGTAACCCAAATACGCAATTAATCTGCCAATGGAAACACATAATGGCTCTTCGTTTTAGCGATAGAAAAATTTAATTCTGAGATTATTTCCAAATCATTGTTTGCTTCTAAAGGAAAACAACAACTTGGTTATAATAAAGGAGGCATGTAAAGGATTAGAAAGGCTTTCTACGCATTAAGAAAGTAGACCTCATTAGGACGCCTTGGCGTATCTCCTGTATGAAGCACGTTGAATGCACAACACACTTCATATATAGGCAAAGGCCAGAGTCCTTTTCCTCCTTAAACGACGAGTGGTTAGCTACTCTAATGATAAAGAAAGATCTGTCAGGAACCATGCATGACGTTCTTCAATAGCAGTTCAGAATCCATTCGCACGGAACGGTCCATTTCAAGTGGTATTGTGAAGTATAGACAGCGCGTGTGCTTTCTGACTCAGGATTTTCAGTTCAAGGAATTCCGGCATATTTACCATATTGGCTTGCGCGCTCTTTAGTAAACACTTGCATGATGTACACTGGATCAGTTTCAATAACACTGGAGACCGGCCCGTACTTGTGCGCCTTTTTTTTTCCACCTCACCCCATTTTTTCGTGATCTGTAAATTGAAGGTGTTCGTCATACTGGCACGCTCGACAAAGTCGATTAAAGTGTTTAGCTCCTAGACTCTAGGCGAAATCGGTTTAACAGGGCGTAAGCCGGCATAACAACACAAACGAACTGAGTATTCATGGCAATTTGATCTTTTATTGTAAAGCTTTGAGTGCTTCCTTAAGATCCAACCGATTAAACAAGGTAGAATGCAACACATAAATAATTCTTATATAATGTGGCATAGAACATGAGAATTTCTGAGAGTGTGAAAGAAAGGGTGAGTCAGACTAATGCTCTTACATAATCAATAAGGAGACGATGGATGGATTTAAGTATCACATTGAAGTTTAGCTTCTTATTAAGGTTTTTACCAGAGTCTCGAGAGATTGAAATCGAAGTATCCGCACGTGTACCTCAACTTCCATTGGTTTGGGTATTTTTGATCACTTACTTAGTTTTCATCAAGGATATGGTCTAATCAAAAGTATCATCCATTTTAAGGGTCATTTACTTTCATCTGTTTCCATGCGAACATTGCAACTATCTGAGTCACCTTGATTACGTAACAGCAGATCTGTTTCATGTAGAAATCGTAGAAAGTGTTCTAAGTCTTCAAAGCAGCAATACACGAAAGCCTCTCAGGGGGGGCTACATTAGACTCTTGAAACAACTTTTAGGGTAGCAAGAGGCTGAACTTTTGATTTAGTTTGGGAAAA